TAGGTGTACTTACTGGTCGCTAATTAAGTTAGTAAGTAAGTTTTTACTTTTAAATTTTGTAACATTACAACAAACGTTACAATGTTAACATTTCCAACATAAATAGACTATGGAAAGTACCCTCGAGGAAAGTGACCTCCGTACAATAGCGCCACCCTCGGGCAGCTGCCTTTGTTACTCTGTATTTATGTTGCCCTGATACATGCTACACGTATTGTCAAGTTTATTTATCCCATCTCTCTAACAACAGTCGTAATTATAACAAAGTGTTTTCAATTAAAATGGCTTGTAAAATAACCATTTTAACATGAGTTAGTTTATTAAATTATTCGATAACGAATACATGTAAGTATTTAGCCGTGTTTATACATCAGATGAGTTAGTTTATTTGAATGATTAACATCATTTACATTTTTTATGAACTTACTAAACTAATGTGTCTTAACCCTTATGTTCATTTTGTATAGTATAACATACATACAACTTTATAAAAATATACGATCATTATAAAATAATTTTTAACTTAGTTTTTTTTTAACTTTCTTTTTTTCTTTTCTTCAAAAAAATCTTACCACAATAAGGGTTAAAGTAAAAAAGTTAATAAATAATTACATCCTAATTAGATCGTTAGTATTAGATAATTCTAATATAGATTTTATTGATATTTTTAAAGTCTAAATTTCGTCTGATACCTGTATAATTACTTACAAATTCATTTTTACTAATCAACACAGTTGATACGGATAGTACGCGACTCCATCTGAGCGGAATAAAAAAAACTTAATTAGTACTCTATGTGTTCTTCCAGACTATACCAAATTTCATAAAGTTCCGTTTAGGCATTCTGGAGATACCTTCAAATAAACATGCAACCATCTATCCAAACATTCACATTTATAATATTAGTAAAATAAGATTAAAAGCAAATGTATTAGAGCTTAAGTATATTCTAACATAACGTTTGTTACTAAAAAATAAAAAGTCATTTCGTTTTAAATTGAAATGCCGTCGCTAAAGCAAACTTTATAACGGCTTTTCATGTCCGTGCTCTCTTCGTATATATCAAACATATATTTTTTAACAGTTCATTGTATTTGATACCTATGCTTTTTTTATTTTTAAAATGGTTTTTTTTTCAAAAGAAAGGTTTTCATACTTTTTTATTAAATGTAGTGTATACAGGGGGATTTATTACATATTGTACAGGGCTTTAAATAAAAAACACTTATTTACAGAAAAATATGTTAATATTGTAGAACATGAATAACAGAAAGACATAGAAAACTGATTTGACGTTACTAAATTCAAATGTTTAATTTCTTTTTTCTTTGATTTAATGGCAGCTATAGTGTAAAAACTCCTTGAACACATATCAAACATTTTAAACAAGCAAATTGTATAAACTAGAAAGCACCAAATAGTGAAAAATGTTATTTAACTTTTTTTTTTGATTACAAATAACTTGAGACACTAGACACTTCTCATTAACTTTGTGTGTGTTCCCACTTTTAAAAGAGTACGACGTTTTCGCTCCACGTATTTTCTTATATAAAAAATTCTCGTGTCACAATGATAGTTGACATAATTCATCTCTATAGCTTGAACTATTTTATATGCATATTCAGTAGGTCTGAGAGCGGACGGAGTCGCGGGCGACAACTAGTACATAGATAAATGTTGCGAATTAAAATTATGACGTCACTGTGAGTTACGAAACTATACATCTATTGCCGTTTCTGTTTCATGAAAATAGAATGATAGAGACGTCATATTGTTGATATACATATGTACAATGGAAACACGCAGAGTAATTAATCTTATGTAAAACATACGAGTAACGACTAGTCATTAGGCCGATAGCCGCAACCTCGACTCACAAGATTAACAAATTACTTACATAGATCTTCGAAAATATTAATAGGGAACAAATTAATTATTAATGTCGCATGTTTGTTAATTATTCTTACAAATAATGAAGAATAATAACATATTTTAAATAAAAAGTTGAAAAATTTTAAACGAACAAAGCAAAGATTGTACACATATTTATATGTAACTAGCTGTCGCCCGCGATCCGTCCACGTGGATATATAAAAAAAACTTAATTAGTGTAGACTATGTGTTCCGTAATTTAATCGAGATCCTTTCTAGAGATATCTTCAAACACCCATCCATTCCACACATTCGCATTTATAATATTAGTAAGTTAAATAAAAAGCAGCTCTTCAAGGCATAAATTAGAAAAAAAATGAATAAATAGTATCCTATGTCCGTCTCGTGGCTCTAAGCTACCTCCTCACCGATTTTCGTAGAGTTATAAATAGTGTAACTAACACAACTTTCTTATATATATATAAATTTAAATATTTACCGCTGAAGTATTTAACATTGGTATATTTAGCATTTACATATAAAATCTTTTCCTTAAATGGAAATTAATTAAAAAAAAAATACTAACCTTTTATTTTTTCAATATCTTCAAAAGCTTGTATTCCGCGAATTCAGAAATAAATATGAAACTTATTTCAAGCTTTTTCTGGATGTTATAAAATAAATCGCATAACTTTCCCGTAAGCTAAGTGTCGTCTACGACCGAACTACGCCGTAGCCCGCGCGATACTGCCGACCTGTAGAGCCTCTTCAAATAGGGAACAAGCGCAATGGTTACGGGACTTTTAAGTCTTTGTTATTGTTTAACTTTACCTGATTTTATTTAATATATAAATAAATTGTTAATATTTTAACTAACCACACTACACTCAGGAACCTTCAGTGTTCTCCCTTAGTGTAAATTTAGTATAATAAATCAACTAAGAAAGCTAAAGTAAGAGAAATCTTCACTAAGGAGGTTAAGTTACAATAAAACAAGTCTGAGTGACAAAATATCCTATTTTGGTATCTTGTTTTGACACTTTTTTTATTATTCATCCAAAATACAGTGTTATCTTAGAATACGAACGCCATAAATTTAACTTCACAATATAAAGCTCTGATAAATCCCTAACCTCACCTCCCCCAGATTCCGACCGCCTTGAGGATATTTATTTGCTGTAAAACTTTTATGTCTTACAGAATACATACTTCGACATACTTCGACGTATACAAGAAATATATAAAAACTACGCTTTTTAATACAAATATCATGAGACAGTATTTAGTGAAAGTCTAGATTACACTGTCGCAGCTCCTGTTGTGTTACAAGATTGCCATTGTTTTCATCATCATCAGCTCACTATACGTCCCCACCGATGGGCTCGGAGCCTACCCTAAGTTAAGTTTGTTTTCAATCTCGAAAAAAAAACTAGAAAACAACAAACTGATATAAAAACGGCTAAACACTCACGTATATTCGTCCCGTTCACTCAGTGAGCTGGGGGCCGCGTCCGCGAAATAATACCAGTACCACTCACCCTGATGAAGGGCCCTTGATGGGCTCGAAACTAGTCGGTGCCGCCACCGGACGAATATATGTGAGTGTTTAGCCGTTTTTATATCAGTTTATTATAATGTCTCACGAAAGTTTAAATAATTTAATAGAAAACAACCGTGTTTTACTATAGTTAAATTGAAATTCCTAACACAAGCTTAGAGCTTAGGAATGGTCAGAAGCTCGCAAACAATACTTTCGTAATGTGTATTAGTATTTTTATTGAAAAAGAAATCTTAAAACTCTTTTAACGTTAACAATTTAATTTAACATCTCGTCGCCCCTTTTTATATTACAGTCATAAAACCTTTAATTCCCCTGTCCGCTGGTGGCATTGTTTGGACCGACAAAGCTACTAGGACGACATAACAATAATAATATAGCCAATTATTTCCATACAGATAAATACATGGTAGAAATAAAATGTACAAAGTAACTATTAGTTGCAATAAGGAAATATGCTTACAATAATACTAACGTACTCTTCTTTATAAATTTAATATTTTTTTTTATATATTATTCAGTACGAACCCCTGTTCGGGTAAAGGCCTCCTCCAAAGACGCCATTTCTCTCTATCTTAAGCCTCGTGTGCCCAGGCAGTGCCGGCTACTTTCTTTATTTCACTCGGACAGCATAATCCAAACTAAATTATAGCTCACTAGCGCCCCCTTGTCAATGTCATAAAACTGTAACAAGGTCATACTGTAGCTTGTGTCATATTTCTTCTTTTGTAATTTTCTATACCTACGTCGGTTTTATACAGACACGTCATTCCCGAACACCCTGTATATTTATTTACCCGCATAAGCTTTTTGTACTTAGGAAGGATCCTTACTATAGAACTCCTGCGAAGTTATATTTATTATGTTAATATGTATTGTTATCTCTTTCACTCTGTTGAAAAATACAGAGGCAGTTTATAAAACAAAATGTCACTAGTCTTATTCTGCTTATTTGTAACTAACTTTTACCCACGACTTCTCAGTGATTAAAAAAAATCTAGTAATAAATGAACATGAAGGTCATTTTTTTTAACTCACTCTGTGATAATGTACATTTCTAATAGCAAAAGAAGTTTTGAAATAGGTCCAATTGTTTTTTAATTTATTCGTTACATATAAAAATACGAGCGTCGGTGGCTCAGGGGTCAAGCATTTGACTTGCAATCTGCAGGTCCTAAGTTCGAATCTCGCCATGTACCAATGACTTTTTGATTTCCGATTTACATATGTAAATTCATCCGATGTTTTTATGGTGAAGGAAAACATCGTGATGTAACCTGCATATATCTGAGAAGAAATTCAAAGATATGTGTGAAGTCAACCCGCACTTGGCCAGCGTGGTTGACTATGGCCTAGTCATCCCTAACTTAGGGTAAGCTCCGAGCCCCTCGGTGGGGACTTATAGTGAGCTGATGATAATATAAAAATACATATCTTTGCTCTTTATAATATTATTATAGAAATAGATCGAGGAAATAAGGGTAAATAAAAAAATTTTTTTTGATGATATTTATTTACAAATGGTGGTAAAAATATCGCAAATATTTTGTATAGTTAAAAAAATAATTTATACCTAGTTTAAATTAATTAATCTAGAGGGAGCCTGTTTGTAATTTACATTTTTTTTATAGCAGAAGGGGGCAAACGAGCAGCGGGAACACCTCGGGTGTTCAACGACGCCCATGGACATCAGCAATACCAGAGGAACCGCAGATGCGTTGCCGGCCTTTGAGGTGGTGATAGGCTCGCTTATTGAAGGACCCTAAGTCGTTATCACCATAAGTAAACTAAAGAATAATATAAATTATTTGAATTTAAATGTTTTAAAATTTTTAGTAAAGAAATAGTTGTCAGTTTACTAACAAAACAAAATTATTTCTTCATAATTCACTAGCCTTTTTTCATCAAATTTAAAAGACACATTGAATATCTTAAGCTTATACCTAACTGATCAGTGCGTTTGTTGAATGATTGCTTCACGGTATTTCGATGGATCCTACGTTAAAGAGACGGACCGGCATTTAATGCAAATAAACATGGCATTTTACTCCGTTTATTGGAAATTTTCATAAAAATTATTAAAAATGTGTACTAGATATGGGGGCGTCCATAAATTACGTGAGGTATTTTTTTAAATTTTCTGCAATAGTTAGATGTCCTGAGATTTTATTTAACCCCCTCCCCCATCCCCCAATCTCACGTGAGATTTTTCAAAATGTGAGTTTCTTACGTAAACGCGTTGGATTGTTATTGTAAAAAGAAAAAAAAGTGCTTCGTGTTTTTATTTATATTTGTTTCAATCAGAAAAAAATTGCGTGATATTTGCCAAAACCCCTTCCCTCCAACGTAAGATTAAATGAGATTTGACTTGACCCCCTTAAACCCCTTAAACACCTCACGTAATATACTGACGTCTCTATGACAAAAAAAACAGTTCCTGCACTTTTAACCTTATTTGTTATGCTCTAAAATTTATTTCTTCACTTGGGTCAGTTTACGTATGATCCATCGATGTTACGCGTAGCTTAGAAACTTTTTTATAAAATCGGAAATTCCAAATTATTTTACCTTTTTAATATCACATTTATTCTTTAATAAGATACCCAAGATCTTTCATTTCTTTATCAAATTGTGCGTCTCTATACTTTTTAATCTTTTGAATCCATTGTCCTATGGACACATGGTTCCTACATGTACCACCATATCTTTTAGGCAAGCATTCAGGGTCGATATGCTGGTGAAGTGACTTCAGGTCATGACCGTGGAAGAAGATACGACCCCAAGCTTTTTGTGGTATGAAGCGTTTGTAGATGTAAAAGAAAGAATTTAGAAGCCAGTTGTAGTTGATTAAGTGACAGGAGTTCAAGCGACCTGGAGTTGCCACCTGGAAAATTAAAAAAAAAAATATTAAGTAATAATATAACAGAATTTAACGTTACTAGTAACTATGTAATTATTAAACTACTGCTATAACAGTTAAGTAATTAAATGCTTTAAAAAATATATTACTTTTCAATACTAAAACTAAACGTAAAACGTTCTAAATAACAACGCGAATTAGTAAAATAACCATTAACAAAATTGCAAATTTAATGATTTTATAAAAAAAGTAGATGGCGCTGATTTACATTTGGTAAACTTTTTATAACAAAAGCTCGAACACTCGTCAATCCCTTCATTATATAAATAAGACGAAACAGAAGCTGTTTTAGTTATTGCCATCTATTTGTTATATAGCCTTATTTATGAAATCTAATTCATATTGATTTTTATACTTACGCCCATCAAACACACCATCTGGTAGGCGATGGTTGGTGTGAGCGTGGCGATATGCCGCAGCGTGATCCCCTCTAAGTCTATGATCACGGTGCCCCCCAGCACCTGTATCTTGGGTTGTCGGACGCCGATCTCCGCCATCGCCATTCCTACACGTACCAAGTCTTCCACTGGAAACTCACTTGGGTCCCACATACCTGGGAATTCATAGACACGTGGACTGTAAGCCAGGGCGATTGAGGAACGCATAACGGCATATTTCAGTTAATTATGTCAAAATTTTAACCCTACGTACGTAGGGCGTCAAAAATATTTAAGACTCATTTGAGTGTTCCCCTCCACGGAAATCTTTAGTAAAAGGCGAAAGATTTATACGTTTTGAAGGGAAACCAGAGTGACGACAATGAGTTGCGGCTAGGATGTCTATTCAGCTACGAAACATAATAATAGCGTTTAGTACTTTTCATACAGCGCCATCTATTATCTGCTTTGGTAAACTTAAAATATTTACCAAATCTAAAAATGGTTAAACGTCCAACGTCAGGTCTATCCAGCATTGAACCTTCGTAGACGTCTTTCACTTTGGTAAGGCCCCACAAATCGACATCCTTGTAAAGATGTGGATATTCTGCTCGAAAATTGCAGTAACGCACCAACTGTAAACAATGTCATTCAACAATTATTACTTACAGACGTACCGAGAATCATTTAAAGGACACTTAAGCAGTACCATTAGTTTAGAATTTCCATACTAAATCTATGTTAAGTAAACGATATAATAATTAAATTGTCACAAAGAACCCTCCTTAGTGATAAACTATCAGTGGGGCAATTAGTCTTTTAACCAGTGTAAGAAATATTAAATTTTATGAAAGCCATCTCTTGAATCAAAAATCACTTACAAGTTTGTGTGCCCGTGGTACAATAAAATCTCTCACTCTAAGGAAACGGAGTAAAAACGCGTCGTCAGTCCTATGTGGTTTGCACTCACCGCGCTCTGGCGAAAAAAGTACAAACAAGAGTTATTAGAAGTGCATAAATAAAACTATAGATGTCGCTATTACAAAATTTATTATAATATAAAATGAAGCAGGTATAAATTATGCGAAGAAAGAATAAATGTTTTTCTTTATTTTATTATATATTTATATTATTTGTAAACTTAGAACTTTGTGTAAAATTACTGCGATAACAAAACTATATTCAAGTTGAGCAACTGTTAGAAAAACATTACAAACAAAGGTCATTTGCAAAATGCACCTGACATTCACATTCTTGCAAGTCTGATCAGTTACACTTATTAGTGTCAACTTTTAATACTCAAATTCTTCCAAGCACCATAAAATAAATAATTATAATAATTGCTTTATATTTGAGCAGTTAGGAATTTTTATATCTTATAATTTAATTTTGAAGCAGTCGAATTGTACAGTTTTGCTTACATAAATTTGTACAGTTAGATTTGTTAGTTAGTGTGTGGAAGGATACAGTGTCGGGTTAGGGCAGGCGCGATTGGGCGACCGCCCAGGGCAAATAATAAAAGCAAATAATTAAAAAGAGCGTTAGACCTAAGACCGTTACTGGCGGACTATACACTCGGTTGCTGTATTAAAAAACTTCTCCAATTAACGGTTATTTTCTACTGAAATCTCTGTATAGAACATATCGTCATCCTTGTCATTCATCTTTGACAAAACAGAGATAACCAATATGTTAAGGTAACTTTTTCATCACTATTTAAATTCGCATACATTTCGCACAATCTACAAGTACAGCATAACATACCGTATATCAGTTCTCTTAGTTCTCTGATTGATGCGTCCCTGGTAACCGGATTCTCGTTACATTGTTCGAACGCCAAAGCGAGGCATTCGGGGTCTTCGTTTGTATTCAACTCCGCTTCGAATGCTATCTCAAGGAAACACTCGTACATTATGTCGCCCTGGTACTTGTGGTTCTATTGAAATGGAAGGAAAAATTTCCTGTTAAAAGTTAGTCAACTCAAGCTCAAATTTATAAAAAATAATAAATAACTTAAACACAATTTTGTAAAAAAAAATATGTTAATTAAATCTCCTTGAAACACATGTTACGATCAAATTCATTTAATTTACAAGTTCCAAAGATATCCCCTTTTGCAGATCTGTTTAAATTACATTACGAATCAAAGTAAAGGGCCGTCAAATGTCAATAAGATCTTGGCCTACATAGAACCTTATGTAAGAACATGCACTTATAAATTGGTGTTGAATTTATATCACATGCGGTTTGATTATGTTGTTCCAGAACATAGCCACATTACTTAACTTTCTATTCGCAGTCAAAAATTGCAAAAGAGCAATTCAAACATTTCAACTGTTTTGAGATGGCTCTTATTTCAAGGACAATTACCATTTGCTTCTGAACTGATCCCTTTACGCCATTTTCGGCTTTATAAGAATTATCGTAAAAGATATATTCTTTTGATAAATTTTAATGCAACTATCACATTCGGAAATTGCAGATTGTGCAAACCGATTTTAATATGAGGTTTTTTTTTGGTTTACTTCGACGCAACACGAGCTTTGCGTTTGTGTTGCGACGACAAAGCGTTCCCCTATGTAGTTTTAGAATAAAAATCAAAACTGTATGCCACATGACTCATGGCATATGGTTAAAACGGCGTGTTTTTATTTAACCAATGCACAACAGGCCAAAGTCGCTCTAGCCTGTTGTATTGAGCAAGGAGCATGCGCATTGGAGCGGAATTACACGGTACGATAAAACAAGGCAGCTTAATATTTTTATGACAATAAACTTAAACTCCCATTTCAATCATAGACTGATTGAGCAAAGCTGTATGCTAGCGTTGTCTTAAACGCAGTGTGGTTGGTCGTGTGGTACATTGTTAGCTCGAAGTCACAGTGTCGCGACGCAACGCAAACGCAACGTGAGTGTGGCATCTCTCTTAAGTAAAAAGTATAACAAAAATGTAGAAATAGAATTGCTTCAAATAACAAAAAATGGTCTCTATAGCATGTTATATATGTGCAAAGTTGACTGACTGGTCAAGGACTCAACGTATCAATAAAACGAGTTAAATATACATGTGTGAGATGTTAACAATCAAGTTTCAAGTAAATGCAGTCATCATTTTTATTCACCAAGGTCATGCACCTTGTATCCATTCGAAGTCACTTGTTCATATTACAAATATGACGTTAATTTTAGCGCAGCCTTGATAATTTAGTTAATTAATGCTACAATCTATAAGTTAGTTGCACAAAAAAGTATATGATCTTTATATAAAACATTTTAGGATCTTATTACATAGTAGACATAAATATGCACGCAGATAAAGCTAGTTTGAATAAATTCAAACGACATACGGCCACGAATCTGTAATTAATCTGTTGCCACGTCGTTATACCAACTGTGTTTTCGATACCAAAATCTTTGTGTAAAACATATCCCTGTCAATATCTTTAATAATACAGAAATAATATGTTTTAAACGGAGATTTAAGTAAATAAATTTTACTCTCCTAATATTACTATTAGATATTCATCATCATCATCAGCTCACTATACGTTCCTACTGAGGGGCTCGGAGCCTACCCTAAGTTAAGGACGATTAAGCCATAGTCAACCACGTTGGCAAAGTGCGGATTGGTTAACTTCACACATGTTTTTAAATTTCTTCTCAGATATGTGCAGGTTGCAGCACGATGTTTTCCTTCACCGTAAGAACATCTAACAAATGTACATATGTAAATCGGAAATCAAAAAACACATTGGTACATGGCGGGATTCGAAACCTGCAGATTGCAAGTCAAGTGCTTGACCCCTGAGCCACCGACGCTTTTTTATATATTAGACATAAGCAAATGCTTTTGTTTATTTACTACCAGTATCCCGACTACTAGATTATCCAGAAAAAACACGGACAGATAAACAATTTATTATCGAATAATTATAGTTTTTAAAATATCTGTTATGCTGACCTTATCTTTTTATTTTAAAAGCTATAGAGCGTTTATGCACATTTTTATTTGTAACTGATCTATTCTATTCTTTCAATATTTTTATGCAAATTATTTTGGGAACTCATTAAAAATATTGCTATAATTCACAAGATTATTCTAACATAATGATATTCCAGGTAATTTGAAAAAGAAACACGATGTTTTTAATTTAAAACTGGTTTATTTTAAGACCTTATAGATTATTTATGATAACTTAATTGCAACTTAAAACAAGTTTGCGCTTGATTCATGGCCATTAAGGAAACACGTAAATATATCTATATCTCTAAAATATTAAAAGATATATCCTTGATACCTATTATTAAACAATATATTTCTATGTTTTTAAAATAACTAACTATCGCCAGCTACTCCATCCGCGTGGAATTACAAAAAAAAACTTAATTAGTAACCTACGTGTTCTTCCAGACCTAGTTCTACATCTATGCCAAATTTCAGCAAGATCCATGCAGCCGTTCTGGAGATACCTTCAAACATCCATCTAAACATTCGCGTTTATAATATTAGAAAGATAATAAATAAAAAATCAATATCCAATACTCACGAATCAAAAGTATCCCAGAAGCAATCAATAAAAACACAAAAAATAACACGATATAAATTACTCCATAATTACCTAATAGTAAAATCTAATTTTATTTGTATTAAAATAAAGTTAACCTATAAACTGAACAATCATCTCGCGAGACGGCGCGACCAGACGCGACTGACAATGAAATGAGTATTTCATCACTTGCAATAGTTCGGATTTCGAGTATAATAACATACAAACTTTATTATAGCTCGAGACTTCAGTCAAACAAGTCCAACATTGACCAAACCGCGCGCATTATTCAGCTATTCGACTCATATTAAAGTATATGCAGCAATGTGTGTATGAGATGAAGTAAGCACAGCTCTGGGTTGTTTACAAGCGGAACTTTCCACAGATGAGTGCCAGGTAGAATCCCCTGCAGATGAAGGAAAAATCATATGGAAGTACGCTCCGTCAAAAATCCATTTAGCTAGTCTCTATAGCACTGACGTCCAACAGATACCTACAACTGCTATTCAATCGTCTCGTGTGAAACCTCGAGCGGGTATAAAGTTTGAATTTTGTAATACTTCTAGCCGTGTCAGTGCATTCTACGTTCAAGTTCTCGTTTTTCCTGCTAAATGCTAAATATAGTTGCGCTATAGCTAGCAAAATAAAAACTATTTCTTCTTCAAAAAAATGTTAACTACGTAATATAAGTAATAGGAATTAAAAAATAAAAAAAGATATATTTACGTTAATCTTTTATTTTTGTCTGAGATAAGTTCGTCCTAGCCACTAATTTTAAATTATGAATAGTCATTTTATTTGTTACCTGTTTATAGCAGGAAAATAAATACCACTTTGATGTGTATTAAATATTTATCTTAAAGTTCCAATACGACTCAGAGTCGTGGCAAAGTTCATAACTGCGAAACAGGGTCGATGACCTCGAGCCTGTAGTTCAAATTGTAAATGATAACTAAATCTGGGCCATCGTTTATAAATAAACAATAGATTTCGTGCAAAGTTTCAATCAAAATTATAATAACGTATTATATACTGTTATTAATATAATAAAGATATGTTTTTGTATGTTTGTAACGAATAAACTCAAAAACTATTAGACTGATTTGAATAATTGTAAATGTCTATTAAAATGCTATATATCAAAGTAACATATAGCAACTCAATACAATTTAGCTTTAAAATATTTAAAAAAGATCCGTGCGAAGCCGGGTCAAACTGCTAGTGTATAATTTATGAAATTGATGTTATTATTTTTTTCCGCTCTAAATTCAACTACATTGTTGCTTGATTATTATGTATAGAGATTGAATTATTTTAGTACAAAAACTCTTAAAGTGATAGCAAAATAAAAGGCTAGCTTTAATTTAGGTGAACTTTCTCTAGACGTAGTTAGATACGAAACATTGCCTTTTTTTATAATATGATATCGTGGCCCTAATGTACTGACGAGAGGGTTATGTTTTAACGATTTATTTTTAAACTACAGACAGCTTAGCGGTAAAAGTACTGTTTTCTAGCTTCGATCCCTGGTCGGTATAAAATTTTTTAATAATTTCAAAAATCAAATTATATTTTACACACAGTTACGGTTGAAAAAAAATGAATATTAATTGTTTTTTTTTTATTTAAGATATGACAACTACTAGCTTCTGAGATACGCAATGAATAGGGTAACAGGAACAGTTGGGAGACACCACAATATAAAAAGGCAAGTTAGAACACATATGCCCAATCGAAGTGAAAGCAATTTAGCATGGAAAGCAAGTTTGTTAGTTATTGCGTTCATTAGGAGGTATAGAAGTCGTGTCTTAATTATTGGGTTGGATATAACTTAATGAGGGGAAAGTCTGGTATTTATACGACGTTCTTTGTTGGCCATGTTTGCAAGGATCTTCCAAACAACTTTATAACAGCTATATTGGTCATGTACAAGATAAAACTGGTATTCATAAGTCATTATCAAGTAGTAGTGTTTGTTTATTGATTATATTTAACATTATTCTGTAGAATATTATTTTCTTACCGAAATACTGTATTGAAAGCGTATCAACAGTTGCGCCGATTACGCTTGCGTCATATTTGCATTTATCTTTGCGTCACGTATACATCACGAGGCCGCCTTGACTCGGACCTCATTATACCTTTGATCTTATGCTCGCCTAGTACTCCAAGGAACGTAGCGTCTTATTTATTTTGTTTTGTGCGCTATATAACCAAAATAACTTGTCGATAACATAACGGCACTAGCCAATCGGGTCCAGTGGACCTGATAGTGCATAAGCGTGAGTTTAAATTGCCGCAAAACTTGTTTATAAACATCTTGTTATCCCTCTCATTTCTACCTAAGAACACAGAGATAACTATGTTTTTGTACATATGAGCATTATTGTTTAAAGTAATTTGCTTTTATAAAATTAAGTAACTACGCCCATCCTATGTTTATGACAGATTCATAAATTTCTTAAAAGAACGATGTGTGAAAAACTCCTGGTCACAAAATTTGGTTATAACGTTAGAATTCAAGATAAAATTGTGGCAAAAAATTAGTTCCTTAATACTTTCAATGTGTTAGATAATGATATGACCAATTAAATTTCCATTAGACTTGTCATTTCGAAATGAAATGGTAACATCTAAATTAGTAACGTAACGTATCATAAAATAAATGCATACGTCCCAAAAACAAGAGCCAAAGTGAAAGTATAGACCTATACCACACTATTAGATCTCTTATGTCTAATGTCCGTTATAAAATATCATAACTTAGCCAAGTCTAGTTTTTATATTAATTTTTAGTCATATAAATAAAAACTCCATCTAGTGGCAAAGTATAAAACTTTCATCAGAAAAATGATCGATTAAGACTTCTGATTTAGTCGAAAGATGGCGCTGAAAAGACTCCTTGATAGTCTTTTAATATGCTATTGTACTTTTTGTTGTCGTGTACGTTGGTTGCGTGTCCAAGATTTCCGCTTAAAACATATTGGCATCTCTGTATTGTCAAAGTTAATGACAGGGATGACGATATGTTTTAAACAGATATTTTGGTGTCGGCAGCAGAAGTAAATAAAATGTTTATTGAATTATCAATGAGGTTATCAAGAGATTGAAAGTCGTGAGTTTCCACTGATAATAAACCATGTTGTAATTCTTCTGTTCTTTTTGACTTTCCGAAGAGAATAGAAGATATGACAAGATATTTTACATCTGTGAAAATTTACGTTAAACACCTCAGTGTCCCATAGCAACAATATCTCGTTTAAGTAAGATGTGACCTTCAACCCACTTTACATCCTACTTCCCGTTTGTCCGTTTAAAGAGAAAGTTGTATGCAGTTTGGGAAAGCGTATAGGTTTTTAACCGTTTTCGGTACATAACACTGGAGTTATTACAAAGCCTATTAAAATTAAACCTTTCCTGATATAGTGACAAGCTCTTACCTTTGGCTACTGAGACCTAATTCTCCGTTTAAAACATATTGTCAAAGCTCAAGGACAGGGATGACGATATGTTTTATTTAGAGTATTTGTTCTCACGGTTACCGTGGGCTTCTGAGACCAAAATATATCGTCATCCATGTCATGATCTATGATAAAAACAAAGATAGGAATATATTTTTAACATGGATTTTGGACTCAGAAACTCACGGTTGAGTCGCTGTCGTAGGTTCTGTCTGGAAAGATTTAAAATCTATATGGATATAGAAAAAGAAAAAACATTTTTTGTCTTCTTCCAGACTATGTTCTACATCTATGCCAAATTACCTTCAGACAAATATTCGCATTTATAATATTAGTAAGATATATATAGATGATGTTTGTATAAATAGTAAATAGTAGTCTATACATACAAGTCAAGAGTATTGATAAGAATCGTCAAACTGTAATATCATGTCATGTACCAATCCTTTGACGAGAAACTTGTTTTGTTGATACTGGCAATACACAGTGCACACACATATAGAGACGTCAATTTAAATCAATTACAAAATAAAACAAAATTTAATTATACTAAAGTTATAAACTTCCAAAATTAAAAAAAAAACAAAGATTTTAAATTGTTCATATTCGTAACAAAACCAAAAAACGTACTTAATTGTTTTAGATGAATGAAATTTAATTTGCAATGACATGACACAACAGAAACAACCATGTTAAAATGTAATAAGTATAAGTACAAACGCTTATATTAATTTTTAATCTAAATATGTCATTGTTTTTAAAGTAACGTTAAATGTAGGCATCAAAATCAGTTATTTCAAATAAAATTATGTAAGTAACTTAGCAATCTCTGTTCTTCATTACTCTGTATTTAGGCGCTTACGCTCGGCGCTTTATTTTAATTTTATACCGTAATCAGCCGTCCGTTAAAACACTCGTTCACATCCGTCCTATACAAAGTTAACTTTATTTTTTTAAATACAAATAAACACAGATTAAAAACAAAACAATTGACAGTTGAAAACATATACTGGTGATAAAAAATATCGTTTTAAAAATAATATTTAAACTTTAATTTTATTGTTCCGTAAACAGTGAAGTGGTTAACCCAGTGTTTGTTTTGTTATTCCCCAAAGTTTGTAAAACTTTTTATCGTGACGTTTTAACATCAAGCAAAATTATAGAACTGTGTTGTCGTTAGCAGGTAAATGACCTTACATAGCTATGACTATATAATTATTTATGTAATGTTTGTACTAGTGTTTAGTTCATTCATTTTTATAAATTACGTTGGTATACAGTGTACAGTCAGCTGCATAAATATACACTCGGAAAACTTAAGTAACTTGTATATTGGTTTAAAAAATAAATATACAGAAATTTGTTAATAACGTGATATCATGGTCGGAAGTATACGGATTGATGCGTGTATAAGTATTTTTGAAACCGAAGTTGTATACTAGTTTTTGTAGCTTGTATACATTGATGCAGCTGACTGTACTGTTTACGTTAACATATTGCAGAGTTGGTAAATATAGACATTATTTTCCACAATTAAATATAGGACAACTACTGTAATTAATTAGAAAGAACTTTCAATATATTATTATTGACGTATTATAATAAAAAATGTTGTTCTTCTTTTCAAATTTTGGTATTTTTTTAGCCAAGAGCTACATTTTATACCAAAACCAATTATACCCACAAATCCAGAGATGTCACATCTTGTCTAAGGGCATGAATATTCTAGAAACGAGAGCTACAGTTTACTGGAAACGTCATCTTTCTTAAAAACTTTTACAAAGGTAATTTTCTCAACACAATTATTCGTTTTGGCGTGTCTTAAAGATTGATAACTCTACGTTCATTGTATTCTCATGTGAAAGCTACTGGCGTCCAAAAAATAGTCAACGGATACAGTTATAAAGAGAAAGTGTTCTATTTTTATGTGCAATGCGTTAGATCGATAAGTACATACTATAATAAAAGATTTTTATTGTATATAAGCCTTCTAAGCAATAGAAAACAGTTGGGCTAGATTACTATTTAATGAAAATTATCAAAATAAAATCGAAAAGATAAGTTGTTTTAATCTTTATGTAGATTTAAATAAAAGGGATCAAATCCCTCCCTATACCTTCTTTGTAATAATAGTAAGTTTGTCTGACTGTTTGTATATTAGGAAAATATATAATACGTTTAATTAATATTCCGTTGATTTGCTGAGATGTCAATTCTTAATATGTATGCAAATATAAAAACGGTTGTATAATATGAAATACAATACAATGTAAAATTGCATTCGCAATCAACTATCAACCTATGTCGTCCTGGTAGGTCTAGTGCAAATATATTTCTAGGTTATACCTAGATTACCTAGGTTACCTAGGTAGTAAAAACGTGATCATGTGTGATGATGGATTTAGCGATTTTTTTTTTGAAGTGGAATTTATTCCGCGTTTCATCTGATGAGTGTGCGTGCCCGAGGCCTAATTTTGATGGGAAGGGGAAATGGATTTGACGAACACGCATAAAAAGGGGAAATTTTATATTTCTGTTCGTCGTCTCCTCCGTCGAATAAAACTAGGCAACGCGTTTGCAATTGCGAATATGGTTAACAGTCGCTTCGCAACGAAGCCTGTAAAATGTCACTCTTATAAATTAAAAATATTTGATCTTATAAACAGAATAAGTAATATGCAGGTGAAATATTTGATTTGGCACGCATAGAGTCGAGGTGAACGGACTGTTATAGGAAAATTACCAGTCGCTTGCAACATCATGGCATAGACATAAAAATATGTGAGACTAGCTGTAGGCCGCGAGGCCGTCCGCTCGGAATAAAAAAAAATTAACCTATATTTACTTGGAAACTGTCTTATGTTACTAATATTATAAATACGATTGTTTAGATGGATGGATGTTTTATGAATATATTGATGAAGGTATTTCCAGAACGGCTGAACGGATGGCGATAAAATTTACGTATTAACATAGTTTGGAAGAACACATAGTCAAAGTCGCGGCGACAGCTAGCGTCCTGTATTTATGCCAAATTTCGGCGAGATTCTTGAGATACCATCTAAGAAATATCCATCCATCCATACATCTGAACATTCGCATTTATAATATTAGTAAGATTGCTTTGATTAGTTACCTTTATGTAACTAAGAGATTTTATTACTGCCGGTGTAGATTGCATCTGCAGCACATCTACACATAACTGTTCCCTTACTGACGAAACACATTTATATAATCTTTGACACGCCAACAAAACTTTTGAATTACTATTATTCTTAAATATTATTCTTTTTGAGTTAAAAAGCATTATCTAAATTATTACAACACTAGCTGTTTCCGCGACTCCGTTCGCATGTAATTGAAAACTTAGTAGCCTATGTGTTCTTCCAGACTATGTTCTATATTCATGCCAAATTTTATCGAGATCCATTGAGCCATTCTTGAGATAACTTCTAACAAACATCCCACAATAAACATTGCACAGAAACTTTCTCTACCATTACTTTAAACGACTTAACATTACGTTGATTATGGTGGCTCACTTTACCAAATAGCTTTTACTATTCCTTGAAATATGTAGCACTTTGATGTTTTTTATTATATTTAAAACTTACTTTTAGGCACCACGCGTGTTTTAGTAATATGAAGAAAACTTTGTGGGATTACTTTCTTGTCTTCTCTTCCCTTGCTTTAAAAAAATACTTTTTGGTTACCAGGGTATCATGCCGTTCATCGATATAGCATTCGCGGCAGAGGTGAGCCGGTTCGAAGATCCGGAATTTGAGGAGCACGCACGCCGCAACTGCAACGAGGACTCTCGCACGAGACAGCGCGCGATCGAAGAGCTCCGGAATATGGTGTACGGTGAGATGATTTAGTCAACTTCGATAAACGTTTTATCGAAGCTTACAAAAGTATATTTTGACCTTGAAAGATATAATTAGACCAAACAAGGTATACAATATGTTGTGTTTGTATTTCAGAAAGAGGCGAGTGTCACCCGCGACGCATGGATGATGCATACCTTCTCAGATTTCTGCGGTGCCGACGGTTCATACCCGCTCTAGCGCACAAGCTTGTATGTGTGGAGATTTTTTTTTTATTTTTAAATAAGTAACTTTATTATTTCCCTTTTTTATATTTATAGTTTCTATATTCCCCAAATCAATTTTAATTAGCACTTATGATATCGTACGATTTCGTCAGTACTAGGAGAGCAGAGGCAAATATTCCGGTCAGTCACCGGTCGTTAAAATTCCTTGACATAGAAAACAAACCTTTCGAATTCGCGAAAGATCGAACACGATTAGGCGGCTGCAACACATAATGGGTTGTTTCCTAAAGAAATATGAAGTCAATAAACCTAAACCTTTTGGGGGGAATTGATAACAAAAGTCAATTAATACTTTAATATGTGTCTTCTGTCCTTTTCAGATGATCCGATATGAAGAGTTTAGAAGTAAGAACTCATATCTATACGACTGTAGCGCGTTCGGTCTGCAGAAGGTGAAACATGTGTACGGTGGCACTTTGCCAGAGAGCCCTGTCAACGGACGAATCACTCTTATGAGGTTCGGTGCGTAATTGAAAAGAAATAAAATCATTAGAAACCTCCCGCTTTTACAGTTTTATACGTAATTGTGACAAATATTTTTGCAAAGGTTTGATCCTCACACTTATTGACAATATAAAATAATGTTTATATTCAGGTAAATGGGACACAGAAGCTGTGCCGATAGTGGACGTGGTGCGGTGCGCACTCATCATGGACGAGATAGCTGTAATGCAGCCAAAGCTGCAGATCCTCGGCGTCACCATCATCGTTGACCTGGAGGGGCTTAGCGTGCGACATGTGCGCCAACTCACACCAACAATCGCGGGACAGATCGTCAGCTTAATGGGGGTGAGACGACCGAGTTGTTATGATACCCTGGTTGTTAACACTGACCCCTCAGTGAAAGTGGTGTACCAAGTTTTTTTTAATGCCAGTTTTAAATAATTGCACAGCGCCATCTTATGAAAGATACAAGACATACGTTTCATAAGTTTTTAATTTTATAGATTGATATATTAAAGTTTTTTTGTTTTGTAGAAAAAACACAAGTAAGAAAATTATTACATGTCTCATCGTTCATTACAGGTCAACTTTCCTCTTCTAATGCACGGCTTGCACATAATAAACTACAATTGGATACTCCACACTTTCTTCTACGTTTTCAAGCAGTTCATACCGAGCGCAGCATGGAGCCGCATGCATTTCCACGGCTACGACATGTCATCTCTCCACAAACACATCGACCCTACCGCTCTACCGCCGGAATATGGTGGCACATGTCGGCATGTTATATCTACAGAAGAATGGCTAAGAAAAGTCAACATGTATAAAGACGATTTTATGGTACAAGAATTGAGGGCTCTAGGATTCACTGTTGAGGACTAGGATAATATAAACTTGGAGTTATCATCAAAGTTACTGAAGAGGACTCTTGAGGATCTGTGCATTTAAAGTATTTAAATATAATGTTACGACATAAAATATAAAGAACAAGACGAGCCAAACAAGAATGTGGGGACCAAGTAAAATATCGATGATATTACTATGAAATGTCAATTATAATAAATTAATAATAGAATAATCATAAATATTATTTATTTATTCCCACTGGTATCCAACATCACCATCCACTGATAAATGGATAGGTCATTGCTTGGGAATAATAGCGTTTGCTTCGTTTCAACTCGAACGCGCCATTTGATGTTAATATGACAGTTTTAATTCGAAATTTTATCACAGCTGTAAATGGCTATCGTCAACGCCAAAATGGCGTAAAAATCAAATAGGCACAAAAAACCGTCGTCTATGTTTGGTGCTTAAAAACTTGCTTCGTACTTACGATGAACAATATATAGAAAATTATATAATATATAGATTGTTATGGTTTTAAATGTCCAGGCTTGTAGCGCCTCAGATGATGACGATGATGATGAAATAGATCGATATGATATTGATTTGGTTATCATCCTCGTAGTGTATTTAATTTTTAAACACCATCTATTTACAACAGAGCACAACTTTTATAGAGACGACATCTTTTAATAAGAGTTTGTTAACCAAACTTTGGGCGCTTATGGCAGATGACAGTAGAAACTTAACGAACGATTTACTAGGATATCATAAGTTGGATGTTGCAGTTATTGCTTGCTAACTGGCACTTTAGTTAGGGGCACATATTTATGAAATGAAAATAAGAAAAGGTATCGAGAATACCTATCTTTAATTAATAGAAATTGCACATCGCAACTATGATTGTTAACATTGTAATATTGATATCGAATCAAAAATTCATACTTTTATAGTATATGTTAACTCTAACCGCCGCTAGATGACACTGTAGCAAAAATTGTGTATATGTGTTTCAGCTCAACTTCTTTCTATTTGAATCACAAGCAAAGACCTATTGTTGTCTCTTTTATTCTCTGTGAAAGAAACAGAGATATAAAATCTGTTAAATGTCTGCCCCGTCTACAGAACAAAGCGGCCATTTTGTGACCAACCAGTAATTTGACGAATATATACTAGGATAGTATGATATTGTTAATTTACAATTGGCGTCATTATTATTACAACGATATCCAGATCCAGATCCGGTCAAACTATGGCCATGATGATTTGCAATTTACGCTAGAAATAAATCAAAATATTTTTTTTCTTCTAGTTGACGAAATAAAAACAAAATGGAAGACTCTATAAACAAATTAAATTAAATTATATTTTCATCACTTTTCTTCATTTATCAGTATGCCAGGGGGGGACTGTGCAGCGATTATCGAATGTCATGAACATGGGCTGGATTCGTCAATCGAAATTTAACGAACGAATTACTAGGATAACATAAACAACAAGAGGTACAAGTAGACTTGGAGGCGTGTACCCGAAAAACACCTCCTACTATCAAAAGTCGCCTATTTTTGTAAAGAGATATTTTATAATGTTTCTTCCGATAAGTATGCAATTCATAAAGAAAGAAATGAAGAATATTCACTCATTTTTTATAATTAATATAGAGATAGATAATATATAATTTAAAGATAAACAATCACAAAATAAAGGAAATTAAATTTGTGTAAATTAAGTATGTGTACAATGTAAAAAAATGTGTGTTTAAATAAAATTGCACATAATTTTTCATATTTCATTTCCTTTTTATGTATAATCGTGTACGCTAACGCCATCTATTAGCTAAAAGCATTTTGTTTTGTTATTTTCTTCATCCACGTTTAGATTTTTGTCATCGATTTTTAAATTTCGTTTTTTAAAGTCATTGTGTACTAGGGTAACATGAATGATTTACTATGGTGATTTCGTTGCAATTCTTCCTCTATTTCATCTATGATGAAATCAGTCTGCATATTCAATAAACTTTCATCGGTATTTTCTCGGTTTTCGAATGAATCGTCAAAATCAAAGTAATCCAACATAGACGGTATTTCGTTATTGTATCCAAAGTTGTATATCCTAGGACCATTTCTCATTTGACTTGGCATCTCCTTAGTTCCATGAAGTACGAGAGTTAATGGTCCAATATTACCCGTGTTTTGTTCATTAGTCTGTAATAAACACGTGATTGATTGACTTTTGTTAATTATTATCAAGCAGCAAAACTGATTACACTAATTTAAAAACATTTTGTTTTTAAATGAAACTATAAAAAACGAAATTATGTTTCTCTTTACCGTGTCTTCAAATGTAGCGCACCAAACACCATCGGCGCGCTCCCCCCACGTAGCTACCGAGGTCAGCGGCCAGTTCACGAAACCAGCTGTAGATGTGTCGCGTGGTCTTGCGCTCAGTAATTGCACTGTCGTTCCTAAAAAAATGGAGACTCAAAGGAAAACGAATCGTATGCCACTGGTATTAGGTTCAGAGTTGAGTCGAAGTCACAATGGAAAATATATAAATAAACATATAAACACAACTATATAAACACTGATAAGCGCTAACCACCAGTTTTTGTTATGTCACAATGTATTGTGCCCAACTACCAGGTTAACATAAAACACAAGGAGATTAATACAACACAATTACCTTGAGGTGACGTTAAATATATTTCCAAGGCTCCTCGTCGCTTGTGCTCAGCATTCACTACAAGTTCCACATGCTCGATGTAGTTGACACCGCAATTTTCAACGTAAATTTTGATATTAACACTTTTTGCCGTTGTAATTTTACTGTCGGCTTCATTTAGACTATGGAGGAAAAAATAGAAATGGTTTTTAACAGAGTTTTAAGTGATTTTTTTACTTATGTTCCAAAAACAGCGGAAATCATCAAAGATCACTTTGATGTCTAAAACGGTTTCATTAGTTTATAAAGCTTTAATAATTTATAACTATCAAATCGTTTCCATTTTTTATATTTCATGTCTAAAACGGTACTATGAGTAAATAAACCGTACGGTATGGCCGCCGCTTGTTTTTTTTTCTTTTTCGCGTCGTTCGTGTTAGATAACCATTGCGACGCTTGTACTAGGAGATAATAAATGCTCACTGGTAATGGTAATCGTGCGAGCGAGTTGAAGTCGCATTACCTCTCGTTCTCTCGGTACGATATGGCTATTACGCGTGCTTTATCAGTGGGATAGAAAGAGATAGAACGTCATGACGCTATTCCTCCGTCTTCCATATGAATAATACACATACATACTTATAAACGCGAATGTTTGTATGTATGTTTGGTGTTGTTAAACGGCTTTACGGATCTCAGTAGCAACGTAGCAGTTCTGATTTAGTATAATTCCACAAGGACATGTTAAGTTGCAAATAATTTGCTTACAAATTGTTTTTGTTTTTAACAATGGCGAATTTTGGCAGCAGCTAGGAATTTTTTGCTCACAGTTTTAAAAATAGCTAAAGTCAATGTCAAAAAACTGCCATAAGATTTGTCCGACGGCAGTTACCAACGCTTGTTTTCCAAAGTTACAAAAATACAATATTGTTCTTGGAACACTTGGTTTACTTTGTGAGCAATCGCCGCGAAACATTCTTATACTAAATATCAGGGCAGCATACTCACCGTGAAGTTTCTATGCGGCAAATGAACTTCTCCGGTACGGTAGTCCAGTTGAGTGCAGACTTAACAATTGCAGCTGCATTGAGGAGCCCGAAACCAAAGCGTATGTCGAAACGAAAACCGGCTCTAAAATAAAAATATAAATAAAAAAAAATATATAGTGAAACTCAATATTATAAATAAGTGACAGTCACATCTATTTAGTTTTTGATTTAATTTAATAATAATACATTTTTTCATCATAAATTATAAGAGAGTTCAAAATTTTATTTGCTTTTAACATAAGAACTTACAAAATGCATAACCATCAGTGAATAAAAAATAATATTTAAATATACCCATTTATTTGCCAACCAGGATTATGAGAGAGAGGCGAGAATTCTGATGTCCATACAATGAGGTGTTGAACATCGCGCCACGTTAAATTTGGACTGAAAAAAATCATTACATTACCGCCTAAGTTTCCAATGACGAAACGTCCATAAAAATTTAATATGTTGTTGTTATCTCAGTTTTTTCAGAAAGAAGAAGGGAGATGAAACCATACTTATACACTAGAAAGGGAAGGCATTGTCTCCTTAAATACAGATTTACTTAGGTAAGGAGCCAAGGCGATATTAATGGTTTAATAATAATAATTTTAGTATGATTTATTATTATTATTTTGTGAATGTTTTCAGCGGAAAGACAATATACGAATTACCCTGTTTTCGAAATTTTGCCGTGGCAGTGGCAGTAGCGTCACATGCTATTTTATGAATTCCTGGTAGAATTTGACCTGAGTTTTGCTGTTTTCAGCATAAATTTCCGCTTCGTCCCTTTTTTTTCTGAGGCGGGGCCGGCACGTGCAAGACACAGTTTGTTACGTCACATTTCGTCTCTGTTACTAGGAGACCATAAAATTGAAGGTGTACGTGCAACGAGTAGCAAGCAAGCTCTGACTTGACGTCAGCTGAGTTGTATATTTTTATATATATAATTCTTCTGTGAGTGTGTATGTCACTGAACTTCTCTCAAACGACTGGACCGATTTTGATAAAAAAATTTGTGTGTGTTCAAGGGGATCTGGGGATGGTTTAGATTCACAATTTTGTCCGCTGGACAATGTTTTTTAATTAATTTTTAATTTATTAGTAGTTGTTGATTTTGGAATGTTTTACATTGGATCCGACAGACGGCGCTACCATCGCAGTGTCAAATTTTAAATAATATTCGAATTCTAATTTTTTTTTTAATAGACAGGACAACGTCTGTCGGGTCCGCTAGTTTTCAATAAAACAATAGTAGAATTTTTGTCAATTTAGATATCTACTTATTTAAGTACCTAAATATTTATATTGGAGTATCGAAATAACTAAATATGATCGAAGTTGCATAAATTTTATTACATTTTAAATATTGGTTTTTCGTTATCTAGATAGGCAGATATATCATATTTACGAATTATTTTTTTTGATGTTACATATAGACATTCTAATTTTATTAATATGTATTATTTACAATATACACATAGAAACGCATACTTACTTCGGCTTATGGTCTCCTA